GAGGAAAAAAACGCGGGCATAGCTATTTCCTCGTAAGCATTACGAGGACTTTACGAGGAAAAAAACGCGGGCATAGCTATTTCCTCGTAAATGGAAACACGGGCATAGCTGTTTCCTCGTAAAGCCCTAGTAATATTACTAGGGCTTTACGAGGAAACAAAATTTCTTATATATACACGAGCAATCCGACTGCTCAGTCATAGTAACTTCCTCTCCATTTTCTCTTAAGGTACTCTCTAATTCCTAGTTAGGTGACTAGATTAGGTGGTTAGCTTAGGGAATTTAGATTAGGTGGTTAGTTTAGAGAATTTAGATTAGGTGGTTCGATTATGAATTTTAAATTACGTTTGTTTAACTGTTTTTTTTTTTCTGTTTTTTTAAAAAAAATTTAGATGGTTAGACAGAGCAAAGTTGCTGCTGCTCGGTCCAAGAGGCCTGTAGATCAGGAGATTCATTATGCGGATATATTCGGGTCCGGGTCGTCTTCATCAGCTCCCGGTGGTTCAGCTTCAGGAGTTCCCGAGACCCAGGGAGGTTTTACGGTATCCCGGTCTCAGCAGCCACATCCTCAGCCTCTTCCTCAGCAGCCACCTCCTCAGCCACCTCCTCAGCCACCGGTCGGGATTCATCCTGACTTGCAGGTGCCCCCGAACGCACCATTTGCGGTGTACACGGTGGAGGATATCTTGGCCCTTCTAGGCAGAGAAGGGCTACCAGAGTTAGATCCTCTCCGACGGGACGGCCAAAACGTATTATGGTATGTTTTAATTTTTAAATTTTTTTATTAATTAATTTTTAAAAAGTGTTATGGTATTCTAATTAATGATTTATTTTCTGTCTTTCCAGGTTTGGTCTTGACAATGCTGTCGGATCTAGCGTCACGGACTGTATCAAGGGATACTTTCCCGATGCAGCTCCAAACTGGAAGCTGACGGCGAGCCACACCAAAAAGACGTGGTTCAAATCGTTCGCTGTAAGTTTAGTAAATCAATTTAATTTATTTTTAATCATT